TCAAATTTCAAAACACTACAGTTCTTAAGACTGAGAAAAAAAACAGTTTGTATACCCCTCATTAGCCATGGGACTGTTGACATGGCATTGTAGATAACTGTACTTCAGGGGTTTTTTTCATCAGAATAATGAAAATAACAATTCCTGTCATACTAATTCAGAAGGTGATTGTGAGAATCTTATGAGATAATATGCTTGACAGTGCTTTGTAAAGAAAAAAAAACCAGCATAAAAGGAATTTAAAAGGAAAAAGCTTCCTTTATTCTATTTTCTCATTTATAGCATAGAGTGTTGATATTAAGTGATCTACACTATCCATAAAACTTGATGTGTTTTTTTCAAAATATATATCATTATTATGATAGTTGTACAATAATAAACATACATAGGCTTTCAAGAATTATAAACCACATTCCATGGCTCAAGAAACATTTTGTGGAGTGTATATGACACAGATTGGCCAGACTGAAATATTTCAATGGTTAAAGGAAATACAGTAGCATGACTCAGACCTGAGGAGGCGTACATGATAAATGCTGTAGCACTTAAGTATGTTGTGTCAAGGAAAAATTTATCAAAGACGCGCTGCAGTTAAGCTTAAAGAAGACATGAGTTCTACACAAAAGCTTTTAGGGCCACATTTTCTGAATGACAGGGACTTCAAGAGCCCTCAGAAGGATGAGTCAGGCACCACAAAAGCAGGACACATCAGCTGGCATTCAGGACTGGGAACAAAGTATCTGCAAGTCTAACTACTCTTCTTTATACTGTTCCAGTAAACTGCATTTGCTTTTACCTGTGTATGGCCATAGCTTATCATTTTGTACTCCCTAGATTCAGTATTCCATCATGGACAACAATGAACACTTTGTAATGGCATGAAATTTCAAAAGCAAAAGCCAAATGTCATCTGAACCACACTCGCCTGCCTACCTCCGAGGAAGGCCAGAGCTTCCCCATTTTGCAGAGCCCAACCTGTTTCCTTATCCAGAGAAAACAGAGACTTCCACCGGCCTCTGTGAATATCGTGATGGCTCAGCTCAGGAATTAGGAAAGCCTGTGAAGTTTCAACTCAGATCCTCCTTTCCTTTTGTTCTCTTGATCACGTCAGGGAAGCACTATCCATAGGTGCAAAACCTCAGCACCCTAACTGACCCTCTCCAGGCTCCTCCTCTTTGGTAAGTGATCACATCTCTGCAGGCAATGCTAAAACACCAGCCCAGGGCTGGCTCGGGCGGTGTCCCATGAATGTCACAATTTCACAGAGGCCCAATTTCCCAGCTCCTTCATCAACCTTTTCTTATTCTTCTCGAATTATCTAAAATCCATAATAATTCCTTTTTGAAAGTCACATAGAACAGGATAGCCGCTAACACTGGGGTCTTCCATCATCTATTTAAACTCTGTGAGCCTGTTTCTTTATCTGTAAAAATGGCTGCTCATATTATCCCAGAGATAATATTTTAGAGATTTTGTGTACAACCATAACACCTCCCACATATACAGGGCTGCACTGGCAACTTCATATATTATAATATGTGAGCCTTACAATAACCCCTTCAGGCTGACAGAGCTACACCAACCTCCATTTTATTCATGGGTGTTTCTAATTCCTTCATCTCTAAGTTCCTTTCACAGTTTTGATGTACTGTGATGCTGTTTTATAGAAGAGAAACTAGACACAGGTTGGTGAACGAGTTTCACAAAGGCCCCTACACTATTACCCCTGAGCCCATTACTCAATAATTTGGCTTCCAGAATAAACAGTGAAAACAGTTTAAGAGAAAGGGCCAGGTCATGTGTTTTTTTTCTCATTTCAATGTTGAATTGGCACAGTAGCAATGTAAATAAGCAATTACGTAAGCCAAGTTAAAAAGGAAAAAGTATGAAAAAGTGATATAGCCTTAAAAATTTAAATCTCAAAAGCAAAATGGCTTCTGTACTAAGCTTGTGCTACCACAGCAATTTATCATACATTTTGATTTCAACCAATTACATTTCTCCCCTAAACTAGGAGTCAAATAATTTTAACTACTTATTTTATATGAATATGCATTTATTTATGTAATTTAACTATAATCTATAATATGTTCCCAGTAATCTTGATTTTTGTGCCACATATACACGTATATGCACATATAAACAAAAAGCAAAAATATTATCAGGATTACCTGTCAGATGAGATCTATATATGTGGGTATAAGTACACATATATGTATGTGTTTGTGTGTATATATATATATTATATATATATATATACACACTATCTATCTATATATATATATAGTATATATTATATATGAATATATAGTTTTGTTTTTCAAAAGCATTCTTATTTATTCAAATTATTAAGAACTTAATCCTGAAGAGAATTCAAGATGGCAAATATTGGAAATTCATTCATAAAAATGAAATATATATACACATATATAATTTCATTCATAAATTACATTACTTAAGAGTAAAAATATTATCAACCCTTAAGGAAGCAAAGCCACATGACATCCCTCGCATGAAATTATTTCTAATCTATTTTATTCTCAGTTAATGTAAATACAGAGTTAATGTCATGAAATTGAAGTCAAAATCATTAAATTGAATAATTATATCAATGCAGGTGATGTTCTTTTTTTACGTGATAAGCTTGCTTGATAATAATCCCTTCACAACCTACCTACATCTCAAGGGCATTTGGGGATTAAAACTTAATTTAAAACTTGGTTAAGAAATTCCTTGAACTTGTTAGAGAAAAGGCCTAAAGTAAAAGCAAAGTAATTATCACCAAAGTCAGTCAAAGCAATGCTTTGTATTTTACCCCGTAGAGAGCACAAATGTAGAAATTATAGAATTATTTTATTATGCAGGGAAATGTTTATTTATCACATTTACAAAGTTGTTTTTACTATGTCCCATTTTATAGTCATTGTGTATGCTGGGGTGCCAAAAAAAATGTATACACATGACTTGTATTCATTTTTTGTTATTGGTATATATTGAGTATTACAATTTCAGTACAGTTTATTCCTTTCTTAAAATGTGTATATATATATATANACACACACACACACACACATATATATATATATATATATATATATATATATATATATATATATATATATATATTTGGCACCCTCTGTATATTTGCCTCTTTGAAATAGTTTCTTAAAATATTAAGCCAGGAACCATCATATTATGTCAGTCTGGTAATATATTTACATACACAAATATTTACTTATATATGACTAAATATACATAATCATTCAATACCTAAAATCTGTATTTTGTATACTGTAAGTATGATTATATATGAGGATATTAAAATATTCTTGATTTTCAATGTTACTCTCAAGAAACAAGTATATCATTATTTTAAATATTAAATAGTTGTAGTAATATTTCCATATCTGAAGTGGGAAATTGTTCAACTATATTATGTTTTTGCAGTGCTTGTTTCCATGGCAACTCCTTCACTTCACTATGCTAGTAATCATATATTCACAGTGCTAGATGGGCTTGGAAAGTACGTAATAAAATGCTGTCATTGTTCAATTAGATATTTGAGGCCCAGACTCCCAGATTTGTGACTTACCTAATGCTACTTCAGTAGTTAGTGTCAGAGTAAGAAACACAAGGTGGAGTTTTTGGCCCGGATTTCAGCATTCTTTCAACTATATTATACTGTCTGCCACTGTTCTAAGCCAATTGACATTGAAATTACACACACACACACACACACACACACACACACACACACACACACACATATATCCAAACACACCCCCTATACACACTGTATGTATAAACACCAACATAACCTAGCAGTTTGATTGAATCAGGCTATTTTAAGAGTTAAACTAGGCTTTTTATGATTTTTTTAGACAAAATAAAAATATTGCCATTATTTAGTCATGATAATGACAAGATGTATGACACTAAATGTGTTAAAATGGGAAAAAAACAGTATTAAGCAGTGATTTCATCTTCTTAATGTCTCAAACTGCTTTATTCAAAATTTTCATTTATTTTACTGAAGGTGCCTATATTGTTCAGAAATTTACAATTATAGACAATAAAAAGATATGAAGAAAGCCCTTCACTACTTATACCTAGGCAACTTATTTCATGGTTTCAATTTGCTAAGCAAAAGTAATTTTCTTATTTAATCAAATTTTTATCTATAAAGAACAGATTCTAGAGTATAGATCTGTGCTGTCCAAGGCAGTAATCACTAGTTAGCTTTCGTGCTGAACCCTTAAAACGTAGCTCGTGTGAATTGAGGTAGGCTGTAAATGTAAACTATACAGCGAATTTCAAAGACTTGGTCCAAAAAAGGAATGTAAAAACATCTCAATTTTATACTGAGTCTATGTTGAAATGATAATATTTATATACCATTAAATCAAATATATCATTGAATATAAAATATAATTGAATATATAATAATATATTATCAAATGTAACCTATTCCTTTGTATTTTTTAATGTGGTTATCGGCAAATTTTAAATTACGTATCCAACTTGCATTTCTGGTTCACATTATAGTTCTGTTGCTCATCACTGGTCTAGACCATTCTCGTGCTAATCTTCCTGTCTGAAACATCTCATGTCCTATTTCCTCAAGTCTAGAATCTACCCTACATTATCTAATGTGACCTGCTCCTTGAACCCTTTTTTGAACTCTCCCATCAGGAAGTGAGCTCTCTCCTTCTCTAAATTCCAACACCTTGCTTCTGACCCTGCCAATTCTATTCTAGCGCCACTACTAGAATGGAAGTGACTGGTAAATAGGGTCTATGTATGCTTTTATGTTTGTTTGTAGCCTGCAAAACAGCCACCATGGAGTTTTAGCAAAGCATTAGTAAACTTTCATTAGACTAGTAAGCAAATAAACTTATATGTAGTAAATGTGCTTTCAGTTCACTTTCACTCAGATAAAGCTGTCTTGAGGGATCAGAATTTTCTGAAGTAGGTCTATGACTTAGAAGGAGGATACGTACCAGCTGACTCTCAGATACCGTAGAGGATGGTGAGGAGAGGTTTGCCTGTAAAATATAAACATGGTGTTTTTAGTGAAATCAATAACTTAGTAAAATAATATATCTATGTCATTAAGTATTTAGAAGTTCTTTTATTATTAAGATGATAAACGTCCACTGTAAGATTTTTAAAAAGTATAAAATAAAAAGAAAAATATTATTTTGCCACCTAAAATTATACTTAGCATTTCTGGTATATTGCCTTACAATATTTTTCCTACACGTTTTTATTCAGTTCACATAAAAGTGAATATGATGTTTTATATGTTGATTTTCCTTAACACCTTAATATAAGCACTAACATAAGACATCAAAACTGCTTCAAGGTCACATATTTCATTCTCTGTATATTCCATATTTTACTTAAATAGGTCAGCATTGTTGGCTATTTATATATATATTTATAGTACATTGAAACAAAGAAAAATTTTTCTTTAAGCATCTTTAAACAAAAAATAAAGTTTTCATGATTTGTGAAATAAAATGATTTGGTTTTTAAAGTTTGTTGTTTTTTTTTTAATTAAAGAGGAGGCCAATATTGTTTCTTTATCCTAGTTTCTGTATTTCACTCCTTTTGTCTGAATGTAGTTTATTTCTTTTGGAAGTAAATGCTTTGGTAGTTTTTTCAGACCTTACTGTCTTGGACTTTGTGTGAAAATATTTTTATTTTGTTCTCATTTTTGAATGAGAGTTCTACTGGACATAGAAGTCTAGGGTAATAGTTATTATTTCTCAGCATTTTAATGACACTATCTCACTGACTCTGGCTTCTGTCACTGCTGTCAGTCTAAATGTCATAACTTGGTGGATCATCTGTCTTCACATTTGGTTAGCATTTAAGATTTTTCTCCTTGACATTCTGTAATTTTACTGAGATATATCTAAGGGCAGATTTCTTTGTATGTATCCTTTTTGGGGGGACTTGGTGCATTTCTTCATTCTTAGTATGCATATCTTTCTTCAATTCTGGAAGATCCTCCATGAATATTTCTCCAAATTTTGCCTTTCTCTCATTATATCTAATCTCTTCCCATGGAGCTTTTAAGAAATACACATTGGGTCTTCTCAGTCCATCCTCCATTCTTATAAAATTCCCTTTCTATATTTTATCTCATTATGCTGCATTCTGGATGGTTTATGCATATGAGACCGACTGACCGTGAATTTTTCTTCAACTGTATATTATTTTTAACATGGCAACTGAACTTTATATTTTAATGACTTTATTTTTAACTTGTGGATGTTCTATTTGGTTATTTTCCAAATCTGTTTTGATGGTAAATATAATTACTATTAAGTATTTCAACATTTTTAATATATCTATAAATTCTTTCCAGATTTTTCTCGAGTTCCTCATTGTTAAATCTCCTATTTCTTGTACTTGCTGACTCATGTCTCTTTCCCATGATGATCTTTAGTCATTTTATGGGGTTTTTTTGGTTTTTTTTTTAGTTTATTTTCAGTCAGGGTGACTTTGGTGATGATTTCTGTAGGTGCCTGAGAAGTTCTGGGCTGGGAAACTATCTCTACAATGCATTTCAAATTTACTCTTGTAGGAGTTTTACTGTCACTAGACCAGTTTCCATTTTATTTCATCACCCTGATATTTCTAAACCTCAAGGATGGAAGATCACCACATATTCAGGTTTACAACCCACTTTCTCATGAATGACTATTTTACCGCCCAAAAGTGCAAGGTGAAGATGATAGATGGATTTATCTTTTTTCTATTTCATGCTTCATGGCCAATATGATCTTCTAGGCTCCTGGATACACACAATGAATTCCTTTACAGGTATTAAACTTGTTATGTAGCAAAATTAAAATCTAGGCTCTTGGCTCCTAGCACCTAGGTTCTGAAGTACCTGTGTTCTATCAGAGTTTGAGCTTCTTCTTAGAGCACTCCCGCCTGGAGCTGTCACTTTAGTTCTGAGTTCTGTCATTCAGAAGCCAGTAGTCATCTCCCTCCCTCCCTTCCTTCCTTCCTTTCTGGTTGGGTTACACACACACACACACACACACACACACACACACACACACACACACACACACACACTTTTTAATAGTTATGTTTGTCAAGCATTGCTGCATTTAAATGGGATGCTGAGTTCCCACATTAGCTAAGCCTTAAACTTTAGTGGGAAATGGTCAACATACAGATGCATAATTATAAATGTACTTGGCTAAACTATAGTAAAGTTGTGTTCCTAAATATTTCTATTCTTTTTGAAATGGCAAGTCTTTTCTGGGTTTAGTATAGATGTGTCAATATTGCTTTTATTGTCTTAGAGATGGATGATATTGAAAACTGGAAGCTTAGTGGCTCTTATGATATTGCCAAGTATACAGGAGTGGGAATCACCAAACATAATGATGAGGCGACTGCAGTCCTCCTCACACCGTGTCCAACACTGTCCATTTTCTGCTTTTTGACTCATGTCATCCCTGGTTGTGCTATGGATGCAGGATGACTTGGCTAAGGGCTCTCGATCTCTGACTGCTACACACTAGGTTAGTCTGCACTGAGGTTTATGGCTTTTCTGTGCTGCAGAAAATGGCCCTTCAGAATGTCTATCACCATGATTATTCTGTGTACCTGAAGTTTCCTTTTTAACCTCATATGTAATATGAATAATGATGAGTTCTTCTGAAATCTTAGTTGTTTTTTTTCTTTAATTTTCCCCTTAGTTTTTTCCCAGTTTTTCATTACTGCAATAATGAAAGGATTCTCTATGAATTTCCTGTTAAATTAGTACCTTCTATAAAATATGCTGAATTAAATGCATCTTGACTAAAACAAAACACAGTTAAATTTTTATCACACTAATATAGGAAAGAAGAGGTTACACATTAAAAATAAAATATTTGCACAATTTAACTACATTACTAACATTTATCAGTACACTGGTCTAAATAATACCAACGTATTATAGGGAAAAAAGATAAAATGCTCAAGCAAACATATTAATTAAATTAGCAGACAACCCAAATATCTTTGTATCCAGTCTTCAAAAGTCCCAAAAATTCCCTCATTGGGAACCATGACATAACAATAAGATGCTTTATATATCCCAAGTATATTTGTATTTTATTTAATATAATGGACTTCATATCACTATTAAAAGAAACTATTCCCAGAGAAAGGACAGAATTAAATGCGAACCTCAGAGTTAAGTAAATATTTATAAAGCCATTGCAGATCCTTTACCAAAATAATAATAATAATAATAATAATAATAATAATAATGATAATAATAATAATTTATTATTATTATACCGGGGGTGCAAAAAAATGTATACACATGACCTGTATTCATCTTTTCTTATCGGTATATATTGAGTATTATAATTTCAATACAGTTTTTCCTTTCTTAAAATGTGTATACTTTTTTGGCACCCTTCATATATATATGTACATATATATAGGCTTATGTGCATTATCATGAATATAAACCAGATTCTTTCAATCAACCCAATCATGTCAAACCTTTTGAGAAGCTTCCCTCTGCTTTCCTAATACAGGTTAATGATGTTTATTAAATGTTGTAGCTATAGTTATGTTACCAAAACTGTAACAATTATTTTTCAAAAAGTGAGGTAATATTGTTTGGTGAATTAAGATTAGAGCGGTGAGTGCAGGGAAGAGGCTACTATATCTGAACAACTGCCCATCAGTCTCCTGAGGTAGAGAAGCAACTTGAAGCACCTAAAAATAAACTTGGAACTTGACTTGAACAACATTAAGGTTTTAGTCATTCGTGTCTATCCACGTTAATACTAACTGTGAAGAACAACATTAGAAATAAGTGTAAAGATGCCTCTAGTGTGAAACAAAATTCCATAATCTATATTCTACAGTCTTTGACATTATTTTGAGTACAAAATAAAGAAAAGTCAAAGGGGGGGGAATATTTTAACCAAAACATCATTAAAAAATTTAAAAAAAACCTAACAGGGCAGTCAAAAAAATTGTGAAAGTCAAAAATTTTTACTTCAAAGAAAATCTGTTAAAGAGTTAGGTTATATGGAAAGTAAAAGAATGAAAGACTAAGGAAAGAAATGAGGATTTGAAATCCACTGAAAATTAAATTGTTACACAAGGCCACCACTTGTGCTAAGCCAGCTTTGGAAAAACCATTTTTCCTCTCACAAAGACTTGATGCTAGAGGCATATGAAGTACAACTAAGCTCCTTAGCCATTGTCTAGGGTTGCTTTTCCCTTGCATTCTGCAGCTTTTCTCCATTCTTGACACACGCCTTTTTGGCTGGCATTACACTAGCAGACACCTTCTTAGGTGACTGGAACAAAACCAAGTTTTATCATATATAAAGTATTGAACAGTTGTTTCTGCCTTCTGCACTCAACATTTGTGGCATCCACTTTTGGCATTTTTTATTTTCCTGATCAGCAGTCATAACCTCCTCACTTGAATATAATATCTGGTTCCATATCGTTGAAATATTTGTCTTCCACCTTTTCCCTATTGACTCTATTGTCCTGAGTTTTCTTTTCTAAAGGCTCAAAAAACTTTAATTAGTCATAGTGTATTAATTAAATTATGTTACTTCTCCCAGACAAGACTGATTTACAGATAAAAAGAGAAAACTTAAAATATATACTGTGCACCTAATAATCACTGAGTTCTGAGCTTGGTGTTAAGGAAATACAAAATTATAAAATGATAAGAAATTGTCTTACCCTTAACTTAGAAAGCGTTCCTGTTATTTGTACATAAGGCACAACACAAAAGAATGAATCCAATGGCAAGAATGTTAGACACAAAAGTCATAGAGATATATTATGGTGCATCACACCTTTTTTGATTCACACTGTTTATTCTAACTATCTGTAGACTTTACCATCTATGAATATCTCATTAAAAGCCATTTTATAAGTCAGTAATATATCCCCAAAGATATAAATATAAAAATAGATTTGGAGGTATTTAAAATGTTTTATTCTTTAAGCTAGAGAATGATAATTCAATCTTGTTGTGAACGTAATT